GAGGTATGAGAGAATAGGTAACTTATCCGAGGACACATTGCTACTGAATGACCCAAGGCTGCAGAAGAGATAGATCCAGTGTGCTGCTGCAGCCTAGAAGAATACGTTACTTGGGGCCAACAGGCAAATCGAGAAGGGCTTCAGAGAAGAGTACATTTAAGTGTGGTCTTATTGAAGGGATTGTAGTTTCAAATTCTTGGAAAACCCCACCTGGCTTCCCCAGAATCCTTCTAGAGGGGTAGGGAAGTGGCAACAGGGAGAAGGCTTACAAGGCATGAGGAGGAAGCCAGATCCCTCTTAGTTTAGCAAGATGAGGATGGAGATATATATGTCCGTTCACCATAATACCCATTTCCCCCAAATCTGGATTCAGATAGATCCTTTCAGCATCTTAAAATCACCAACAGATTATTCCACATTATGTATTTGTGGAAGCAACTATACATCATATTCTGGGCAACTTAGAGGCCAGGGGGACAGCTGACTGTGGCTCATGGGCTAAATTTTGGTCTACCACCTGTTTTTGTTAAAAAAAATTATTGAAACACAACCAAGATCACTTGTTTACATATTGTCTAGTTCTGTTTTCAAACTACAAAGGCAAGGTTTGCTAACTTTTGGCGTAGACAAACAGCTCAGATGATCCACGACTGGAGGACAGTGGTTGTCACCAACCTGTCCTTCTCAAACATAATAATGCCTAACCCCGTTGAGTGCCTGATATGTGGCAGATATCTTTATAAATGCTTTACGTGAATTAATTAACTCATTTAGGGAATTCTCTGGTGGTCCAGTGGTTAGGACTCTGAGCTTTCACTGCCTAGGGCCTGGTTTCAATCCCTGGGGTCAGGGAACTAAGATCTCACAAGCTGTGCGGCACAGCCAAAAAAAAAAAAAATTTAGGGGTTTCACAGAACATTGGAGCTGGAAGGACTCGTTGATATTATCTAATTTGTCACCTTTTTCAGATAAATAGCCTGCTCATGTGGGCTATGGCAGAGCATAGTTTCTTGAGTCCCAGCCCAGTCCACTTTGCCACTTTGATCTTATTTTGAAAGGGAAACCAATATCATATCCATTAGGTGTGGCATTAAAAAGAAAGGTTTTTTTTAGGGGGGGGTGCTTAAACCCCTGAGTGAGATCTCTCATTTTTAAATGTTTTACTGACTGTAAAAGTAATTCATGTTTATTGCAGGAAAAATGAAATATGTAGAAGGATATAAAGGACAAAATAAAATAACCCATTAAATGACCTAGAGATCAGTTGTTGACATTTTAGTGGGTTTTCCTCTGTCCTTTTTTATATGTGTGTTTTGTATATATCTGTGTAGCAATAATAGTTTCTGTTTATTGAATGCTTACTTTAGTACTGGTATATATGTGCATATTTTTTGTTTCAGTGTTTTGTAGTCTCCTGTTTTAACATATTGTATTTTCTCATGAATATTCTTTGAAAACATGACTCTTAATAGTTTCATAATCTATCATATTGATATGCCATCAGTGTTTACTTGCCTGTATTTTTACAGTTATAGTAACAATGTGATCTTTGTACATAAATCTCTGTGCTTATCTCTGATTATATTTTTTTTCACTTGTTTTCTGTGATTACAGAGTTATTTACTTATTTCTACAGGAAAACTTTCAAACATTGCAAAAAGCAAGGCCTTAAAACAAAAGTTTACCATAATCTTATTCCTCAAGATGATCATGGCTAACAAATTGATATTCTGAGAGATTTAAGTTTTTTAAAAATAAGGCAAAATATAGATAATTGAAGAAATTTGGAAAATAGAAGAGAAAATCATTCATAATTTATATCACCATGGTGGTGATTACTTTTCCTTCTTGATCTTATTCATATGTATATTTTAACATACATATATAATGTTAGATTGTATTTGAAATTTTAATATCCTGTGTTTTTTTTCATATTTGCCTATAAGTATTTTTCCACATTGTCACATATTTTCATTTTCAATTATCTGATGTCTGTATAATTTCCACCAAGTGGAAGTACCATACTTTGCTAAATTGCTAAGCCTTAGTGTCCATCAACAGAAAAATTGTGTTTTCCAACAACATTTAAGGGGATTTTAAAAATTTTTTTACAGGTAACAAAAGAATTCAGCTTGGGTTTTTTTCTCCCACTCTGGGAGGTTCCTTCTCTATGAAAAGGTTCTAACAGTAGAATTACTAGGTTAAATAATATAGGCATTTTTATGACATACTGATGACTGAGGATCTTCTGAGATCCATTGCAGGTGTTGTATATAGTACAGATTGAGAATTTTGTCCTGACTTTCTGTACCTACAAAATGGTGATCGTGGTGTCCCAACTGCCACTCAGCCTACAACTTTAAGACCTAATATATTGGGTTGGCCAAAAAGTTCATTCGCGTTTTTCCGTAACATCTTATGAACGAACTTTTGGGCCAACCCAGTATATTGCCAGTTAGCTCTAGAAAGATGGTACCAGTTTACATTCCCACCAGTGGTGTGTGAGAAGCTCTCTTTCCCCGTACCTTTGCCAGTTTTGAGTTTTAGCATTAAAGAGAGAGTTTCCAACTTGATATAAAAATTGATTCTTCATTCTTTCAGTTCCCATTTCTTTGATTACCAGTGAGGTGAAACTTTGTTTTGGTATGTCTATTGGCCTTTTGTAATTCTTGGTGTATTTGTTGTACTTTGCATTTTTCTATCAGTTCATCTTTTTTCTTGTTAATAGGAAGTCTTTTATCAGGTCTATCTACTCCTTGATGTATAAATCAAAAATACATTTTTTAACCCTTTACTGGGTTTTGGTTTATTTTGGTATGTTGTGTGAGGTAGGAATCTCATTAAGTGTTTTTTCCAGATACTTAAGCAACAGTCCCAACATAAATTGTGAGTAATCAATTTTTTTTCTGATTAGAAATGCCAATTTTTATCATATATTAAATTAGTTTACTTATTTCTCTTAGGGATTAGGAGTCTCTAAAATCAAAAACCAGAGTTAAACCTCCTTATAAATGTGTAAACTCCCTGTTGAGGTTTCCTAGCTACACTCTTTTGATGATTTTATCTGTTACCCCCAGAATTTCAGTTACCTTCTTTATGACAAAAACTCTAAATACAAGTTTTCAGCCCACACCTCTGTCCTCTGTTCCTTATATGTATGCCTGATATTTCAAACTGAATGTATCTTTTTCCTCCTCAAACCAGTGTTACCACTCTCACTAAAGGTCACTGTCATCTCTCAAGCCCCAAACCAGCAAATTATCATTAAATTCTTCTCCCTCACATCTCGCTCCAGTAGTCATCCTGTCCTGTTGTTTTTGTCTCTTAGTCATCCAAGTCCCCTTATTGGACTGCTGAAACAACCTCCCAAGGGGTCCTCCAGCCTTCACCTTGCCTCCTACCTTCCACTCCTTGTACACACTTTGCTCTGTGGGCAAAAGGATAAGTTGTGTGTGTGTGTGTGTGTGTGTGTGTGTGTGTGTGTGTTTAATAGAAGATCTAATCATGTCACATATTTTTCAAACCTTTTCCAATACTTTTTATGGGTTTTTGCTCACTTTAGGGTAGATTCCTTAAAGTGGTTTGCAGGGTTGTATTTGCTTGCCTCGGGCTTCATGTCTTATTTCTAGTGCCTAATACTTTGGCCTTACTAGATCTCTTTCATTCTTCCAAAGTTTGGGGCTTGATTCCTTTTGTATGTTCTGTTTCATCTCTCTAGTATCTTCTTTTCCCTCTTCACCTGTCTAATTCTTATTTGTCTCTTCTTCAGGGAGGCTTTCTTTCCCAGATTAGATTAGGTCCCCTCTGCTCTGCATTCTACAGGACCCAATATTTCTCCTTTTATAATTCCCTTATTTGTAACTACTGGTGTTAATATCTTTGTTGAGCTGTGACATAAGCTCTGGGTAGGCGGGGGCATTTCTGACTTTTTCTCCACTGTCTAGCTCTGATTGTAGCCAAACCCTACCTTACTTCATGAGTCTCTGTAGGATTCTGCAGTGGGTCCACTTTATGTTCCTCCTATGGAAGAGGATCAGGAAATCCCAGATAGGATCCTCTTAAACCTCTAAAGCTCAACACCGAGGCACAGACCTTGATGAGAAGTCCACAGGGCCAGCCTTATTATATACTTCACCAGACATCCTATTCTTCCATGCCTTCTGAGCTCTTGATTATGGTAAACCATCTCTCTGCCTTCTGTTTTTCTTGAAATAATGCTTCCAATTCGACTTCTCACTTCAGGGTTATACGGAGAGACATTTTTGGATGAACAGTTATGATTTTGACTTTCCAAAAACCAGATACTCTCTATACTATTTTTGCAACTCTTTGTAAGTCAAAAATTATTTCACAAAGTGTTTTTGTTTTTTCAACTGCAGCCTACACTCTTATATTGAGCTATGCCTGAAGAAAAGATTTTGAATTGATAAGACATCTTGAAGAAAGGACAATCAGCATATCTCTAGAAATCCCTAATTACTATCCAGCTCCTTGACATATAGGGGAGGTGGGTGGATCAGACTTAATGCATTAGCCTTGCTATGAGGCCATTTCCCAACACAACGTTTGACTATATTAATTGGCTTTTCATATAGATTATTGTATAGGTGAAATAGTGCACTAATTGACATGGATATTCCCATTCACTTCATAGTTATTTTTATCTTTATAAATAACATTCTGATTTATTTCTCAAGTACTTGAGTGTTTGCTAATATGTCATTCTGTCTGGCTGCCACTTCTTGGACAGCTGACAAATGGAGTTTGTTAACCTAGAAAGCTGGAAGCCACCCCTGACTCCTGGTGATGCAGGCATGTTGCTGTCCTGACAGGTTTTGTGTGAGTTACCAAATAGTATTCTTAGGCAACAGCTCTATCTCATTTTTCTGTTTACTGGGACAGTGATATCCCCTCCCCCACCTGTTTTTCCTCTATGAGCAGGGCTCCCAGTTTTTCAACCTTGAAGTCTTTTACAATCAAAGCAAAGAGAAGACTTGTGGATGTTGAATATGCAAGGAGCTGAAGAGAGAGAGATTGAAAGAGAGATTTGTCCAGGTGAGTAAGCAAGGGATCACCAGTGGAAGAAATGGGAGGGCTTTGGAAATTTTACAAGAGAAACTGAATGAAGCTCAGAAGAGCAAATTACCCTCTCTTTTAGGAATGCTGGGGTGAATGTGAGTGAGCATCTATTGAGTGAGCATCTCTTGAGGCCAGCTTTTCCCTGGTACTCATTTGATCTCATTTCCACTATTTTGCACTTTTACATTCTCCCACACTCTCCACTCTTTGAATACAAACCATCCATGTTTCTTGTCTTGCTCTAATCTTAGTCTGTTATTGTTTGTTTTTTTCCCTTTATCTCCCTGGTTTCTGATTCTGTCACTTCCTTGGTGTCTGCAGCTACTCATTTTTCATTAATGGTGATCACCTTACCCTGATGCAGATCTCTTTCACCAGTTGTAACTCTGAATTACTTGCCCCACTTGCTTTTTTTTTTTTTTTTGGCTGTGTTGGGTCTTTGTTGCTGCACGCGGGCTTTCTCTAGTTGCAGCGAGCAGGGGCTACTCTTCATTGCAGTGCATGGGCTCTAAGTGTGCAGGCTTCAGTAGTTGTGGCACAGGGGCTCAGTAGTTGTGGCTTTCAGGCTCAGTAGTTGTGGCACACGGGCTTAGTTGCTGCACGGCATGTGGGATCTTCCCGGACCAGGGCTTGAACCCGTGTCCACTGCATTGGCAGGCAGATTCTTAACCACTGTGCCACTGGGGAAGTCCTACCCCCACTTGCTCTTT